CACATTCTAGACAGTTTATCAGCTAAAAAAAGTTAATTTTGGGGTAAGTTACTCTTTAATAATATATGTTGTTTGATTGAACTAGCTGTTAGTTAATCTGRCCTGTGACATTTAAACTCCGAAACTGAGGTTAAAAAATTATCTACAGCAGGTGAGATGATTATTGTTCATACCTTCTCCACACAACACTTTAAAAATGTTGAAACAGCCCTTTAAAGCTTTTAAAGTGTGCCTATTTACACTGTGCTTTATTTTAGGATTGTTGGATGGTTTATCTTGTTCAAATAAAGATTTATTGTGTCGAACATGTTGTGCTACCTGCTGCTGCAGGAGCGTCAGAGTGGACCTCCTCCTCCTCCTCCTCCTCCTCCTCCTGCTGCTGACAGCCAGGCAGCCCAGCAGCAGCCTCAGGACCAGCACACAGCAGCTCTTTCATGGGACTCTGAGGACTTCATCTGGCTCCGCCGGAGCAGCAGGACGCTCGCTGCTCTAACGCCACCTCTGTGCTCGTTTCATCCCTTTGATCTGTTTTGTTTTCTTCACGTCTTTCTTCTTTTTTATCTGAAAGGAACTTTTGGGATCCGTGTTTTCACCGGGAAACTTTCCCCTCCGTGGAAATATGGGGAGGAACTGTGGGTTTTATCCTGGGAACGTCTTTGCTCTGCAGCTGCTGCTGCTGTTTGGAGGTAAGCTTCACCTTCAGCTCAACCCTTCAACATTTAAAATGATTTCATCTTAAAGTTTTCATACAAAGAAACACTTAAAGTTTAATTATCTTTAAGTTTAAAGAAGATTTTTCATCTTTTTTTCTTTGTAAACAAATAAAACATCACCTTTTCCTCTTGCGTCACAAGTGTAACAGTCTGGGTTTTGGTTACACAAATTCATCAATATCTGCAAAATCTGAGAGGAGCGAAGCTTCCCGCGGCTCCGGAGGGTCCAGTGGACCTGAAACCCGCTCATGTGTTAAACTAAATCGCTCTGGCTGAATGGATTTTTAAATGCTGAGTGATTTTTAAAGCTCGTTTTTTTTTTTTTCAGAGAAGTGGCTTCATAACTGGTCTGTGAAGCACAGACCCGAACAGAGCCGCAGCTTTATTCTGATGTTCTAATCCCAGAGCCCAACTGAACCAACACCCCCCGCCCCCCCCACACGTCTATATTTAAAGAGTCAGGATCTGGACAAGCACGCAGAGGATTTAGACCAATATAGGAACAAAGTCCTGGATTTTAATAAAACTTAAACTTAGAAGTGAAGGCATCACGATTAAAAAAGGCTAAAAGTATTTGTTAGTGTAGGAATGCATATCGCCCGCTGAGATGGTGTTGTCGGCTGCTATCACGCCAAATTTCAGCTCAACATCTGTCAAACTGACTTAATTACAGCTAGTTTTATGTTTGGAAACATCCATTTGCTGTGGCGGCCATCTTTAACTGTGTCTTCCCCGAATTTTAATCAGTTAAAGATGTAAATCCAGTCATTACTTCCTAAATGTTTTGTTAAAATTCATCTAATGCTTCATGAAATATTTTGCTAACAGACATGCAGCGTTAACTCCAAATAGTTAATCACAGAATGTATGTTGGGAATCAGTCTCAGCTACTGTCACGCCACATTTTAAGCCAATATTTGTAAAATTAGCAGAGTTTTAGCTACTTTTGCGCATTTTTCTAATGGCTCTTCGGCTGTGGAGGCCATCTTGAGTTGAGTTTTATTTGATTCGTTTTTGGCTCCATGTTTGGAGGGCTGCGGTGTAATTAATTGGCTGCTCATCATCATCACTGTGGTCTTCCTCATCCTCACCTCTGGTGAGAGAGGACAGGAGGAGCTGCAGGTGTGCAGCAGCTGCTCTGCCTCTGARTAAACACTGGCTGTTTGTTTACCTGTGGCTCTGACCGCGGACCCTCAGAGCCACACGTCAGGCCCACCGAGCTGCCGCGCTGTTGGCGGTGATGTCATCACGCCGTTTGTCTGGAGGTGGTTTTTATCGTCTGACGTTTCGGACGAAACGTGGAGCTCCAGATTTTACAGCTGAATGTTTGTTAAAAGAGGACGGAACATTTTTTATGATTTATTTGATTTTTTGAAGCGTTTAAAGATGATTTGTTGAGTTTGTGATTGAAGCTGTTTAAAGGGCCGAACACGTCCTGCATGATGATCATAAAATATAAGACTTAAAGGGACAGTTCAGACATTTTAAAGGGATCCCTGATTAGTTGTAACATTAGACTTTATTTCATAAACATATATTTTAACTGTAAAATAAAGACTGTAAAAATACTCTAGGATGTTTAGTTTTTATAATTTTTTAACTAAAAGTTTAAAAARTKYRTTACACGGACWGRGCCATTTTATTTCCACACAAAGCATTCTGGGTAAATGAGGACGTGGATAGGTCCTCGGTGTGAGGCTGCTAGCGAGCTATATCCACCCTGAAGGTTAATCTTGGACAATATCTGATGATCGACTCTTTTAAATGAAACCAGAGAGCGTTGACAGAGAGGAGAAGGTAGAAATGACTCAGCCTGGAACTGAAAATATGGATGGAGGACAACAGAGCTGCTTCATGGAAGAAGAACCTCAGCTTAGCCTGTTAGCTTTAGCATTAGCCCTGACACTATCACCATATAGCGCTACACATTCTCCTCTCATCACTGAGGTCCTCCATCCACATGACAGAGAGGGGAACAAAAAAATGACTCAGCTGCAACTGAAAATATGGATGGAGGACCTCAGTTTAGCTTGTTTGTCGCACTAGCACCGAGCTAATACATATAAGGCAATATAGCATCGGTGCTAGCGCAATATTGCTACTTTTGGAATTTAGCTACCAATATGCATCATGCTTTTTATCTTTTGTTTTGCAACTTTCCACTAATAGTGTTTTTGCTACTTCTACCTAACATTTTGTTACTTTCGGCTTTTAGCTGTAAATCTGATGGATTTGGCTGTTTGCAGTGATTCCCTTTCTTTTAGCTTTCAGCTAGACTTCATCTAAATTTATCCACTGCTTGATTTTTTTTTAGCTTTTGGCAAAAAATTTGGCTAGCTTCAGTTATTAGTTAAAGTTGTGCTTTTTAAAATTTAATTGAGTTTTTTTTTTTCAACTTTTAACTGTTAGTTTTTTGCTGCATACAGCTAGTGGTTTTTCTACTTTTAGCTAGCATTTTTTTAAACTTTTGGCCTTTAGCTTTAATTTAACTACTTTTGTCTTTCAGCTAATAGTTTTGTTGCTACTTTTAGCTAGCATTTTTTAGCTGTTCTGCTACATTTGGCTTTTTGCTGTCATTCTCTCTCTTTTAGTTTACAGTTTGTCAACTTTTAGCTAGTATTTTGCAGCTTTTAGCCTTTAGCTGCTGCTTTGTTACTTTTATCTGTAGCTCTTGACGTTCAGCCTCTTCAGTGAGCTCCAGCAGAACTCTCTCTTTACGTTTGAACCCAGTAGAACCTCCTGGGACGGCTTCCGCTCGTGTTAGYGCGCGCTGACAGTCGTTAACCTCCATCGGCTCTTGAAGAGGAGCCGCAGATGTTTCCACAGAGAAGCATCGACCCGTTTGTCTTCGGCTCTGACCCTGTTAACGTATCTCTGACCCGGTTCTGCTCTCTGACCCGTGAAAGCCCCGGTGACGGCCCACCCCCAGGGGAGGAGGAGGAGGAGGAGGAGGAGATCCCCCTGCTCCTTCATCAGCATCTTCACCCTGTGAGAAGCTCCAGAAACATAAATCTCATTTCCTGCTGGTCCGGTTCTAACGAGGTTCTGGTTCTGTTTCTTTTTAGTGAAAGCAGAAACTAAATAACTTTATTTTCTCGCTCTCTGCTTCACGGGTTCTGATCCGAACCCGTCAGAGCTCCGAGCCTGATGCGCTCGTCAGTTCAGGGTCACACAGTCTAATTTCCTCTGGTGAAAGGACGAGGAGACGATGATGGAGACTCTGCCCCGGGGCCGATCCAGTCCTCCGGTCTCACACCGGTTCTGACAAGTTCCTCTCCACGTCCACGGGCCAAACAAAGAACCGGCTCGGCTCTGTCTGCGGTACCATCAGAACCAAACAGAACCCAKTTAGCCCACAGGATGCAGGTTTTTCTAAATAAATCAAACCATGTTTTAAATATAAAATAAAACCTGATTTAATGTAAACGTTGTTGGTTCTTCTTTACTGAACCACCTTTTTTATGTTAGCATTTAGATCACAACGTTCAGCTTGTTTAGCTGCTAATCATTAGCTGCTGAGACGTTTGTTTGTTTTTATTTGTTTGCAAAAAAATCCACAGAAATAAATTCAGATCAATTCAGTTTCTCCAAAAACTGAAATTAATTGTCTTCACCTTCTACTTAAAGCTTTAGCTATGCTTTTCATACTTTTAGGTTTTAGCCTTTGTTACTTTTAGCTTTAGCTATTGTTTTCATACTTTTAGATTCCAGCTAACTTTTTGTTATTTTTAGCTAGCCTTTAACGTCTTGTTGTTTTTAGCTCGCTTTTTGCTTCCTTTAGCTTCTAGCTGCTATTTTGTTCTTTGATTTTTAGCTAGCATTATTTTAATTTTTTGTCTAGAAATTTGCTGCTCTTAACTTTTAGCTAACCTTTAAATACTTTTAGCTTCTAGATATTTTTTGACATCTATAGCAAATTTTTTATACTTTTAGCTTTAGCTTTGTTACTTTTAGCTTTAGCTAGCCTTTTGAGGGGCGGCTGTGGTGTAGTGGTAGAGCAGCCGGCTTGGGACCTGAAAGTCTTAGGTTCGACTCCCCGCCATACCCACATGTTGTGGTGTCCTTGAGCAAGACACCTAACCCTAACTGCTCCCCGGGCGCCTCACATGGCTGCCCGCTGCTCCACTTGGGTGTGGATGGGTTAAATGCAGAGCACAAATTTCGTCATTGTGTGGAAACATACACTGATGACAAATAAAGCACCTTTACCTTTGATACTTTTAGATTCTATGTAACTTTCTATTACCTTACTCTACTACATTTAGCTTTTACTCAGCATCTTCCTATTTTTGAGTTTTGGTTAGCATATTGCCTTTTTTTAGCTTTTAGCTAGTGTCTTGCATCTATAAGCTTCTTGCTTCCATTTTCTGCTTTTAGGTTCTAACTGACCTGTTCCTGCTGTTAGCTAGCCTTTTGGTGCTTTTAACGGTCATTTTGTTACATTTAGCTTTAGCATTTTGGTCGTTTGGGTTTAAATTTGTATTTTTTTAAGCTTTTATTTAGTGTCTTGCTTCTTTTAGCTGCAGTTAGCATTTACATTTGCTTTTTAGTTTGTTTTTTCCCATTTAGGCTTTTAGCTTTACTTTTGGTTCTTTAGGATTTTTTAGCCATTTGGTACTTTTAGCTGATGTTTTGCTCCTTTAAGCTGTTACTTCTGAGTTTGCAGTTGGATTTAATTCTTCAGGAGGATAAAGACAAACTGTCTTGTTTCTGTTTTACGCTTCATTCTTGCGGTTTTGTTGAATATTTGTTGGTATTAAAAACATTCCTGTTTAATAAAACCGAACAGATCGGTTAGTTTTCCTCTTTGACCTCTTTCTGCTCCAACGATTCTAACGATCCTTTTATTGATCGTTGTGATTTTAATTTGTCTAATTGTAGCTCGACTAATGATTTTCTTACTGACCTCAGCTGTGATGATTTGTAATTATTGCCTCGCTAACGAGGAAAATATCTAATCTGTGAAACCAACG